TTATCATAGCTAGGTAAGTACACTAGTCCCCAGCAGAGAAGTACTTTGTTTTCTTACCCTGCTCACCTCTGATAGGCACACAGAAATTCGAGCATTCACTAGCAGGTGGAGTAGCACCGAATGACTGCAAACACTTGGACAAAACAGCATCCTCTTCTGTAGCATACATGAGTGCTACTAGTTAGTTCTAGAACTTGAATTTATTACACATCACAGCACACTTTTTAAAGCAAAGTCTACCTGGCTATTGCCTTCTAGTGCTGAGGACACACTTGTAGTCTCATCCTCCTATTGTGTACCTGGTGGAGTATACTGGTACAGGTCCCTTGCGTGCTGTCTTAGGTTGTTGGGCAGCTCACTGTTTTGTATACTGGCACTGGCAGCTTTCAAATGCTTTAGAAGAAGATGCAGATGGGGAAAAAGAAGACTGCAGAGTAATAATGGACTGTTCTGCCCAAAGAGGACTTTTGCTTCTGGCAGAGAGCTGTTTGGGAAGCTCTCACCTGAGAGCTGCTGAAACTCTCACCTGAACTTTGCTCATAAGCAAGGTTTTGCAACCTGCACCTCAGAGGAGTGAATTCCCCTTTTTGGACTCAGTCTGGCAGTGAGGGCAACCTCCTGGAAACTGAATCTGGGTATTGAGATCATCTTCTGCCTGGATTTAACACAGGGAATCAGATTTGCTTCTTGTGTTTTACTTCTGCTTTCCAAGCTGTTTAATGGCATCATGATAAAGTTTTCAAGCTTTGGTAAAAGCAGTAGCTTGTTAGAGACTTGTGGCAGAACTGTGCAATTTAGCTGTTCTCAACAGAGGAAGATTTCAGTTTCTGTACTCTTTTTCACTTTGGTTTAGCACCTTGTCTGAAACCTTGCTTTTGAATGGGAGCTTTGCCAGAGGAGCTGTGTGGTACTAGCAGTAGCAGGAAGCATACCCTTTCCAGAGACATTTGGGAATGGGAGCTGAAGTAAGTGGGCACATTTCTGGAGGTGTTTTCAGTTATATCCCTTTTTCACATTGCTACAGGTTTGTTCTTTGTTGCTAGCACCCATCTGCTCTGAGCTTCTTGTCTGTCCTACTTTTCTGCCCTGTTAATTCTCCATGTCAGCCAAATACAGCTTTCCTGCATTGCTTCAAAATTAATGTTTTCTGAGATCTTTTCCTTGGATACTATTGCTTTAAAAAGCAGCAGAATATCCTCATCCACTGAAGAAACAGACCAGTAATCCATCTGCAATGTCAAACATTTTCTATTTAGCCTTTATTAGAAGCAGAAGCATTGGTTGCACACAGCTGTTGTGATTACAGACAGTTAGGACTGCTAGGTATTTGTGATTTTAAACATCATTCACTATCTGCGTAACAGCCTCATCAACACATATGCTTTGTGTCACAGAGGATTGATTCCTGTTATGGTAACACCTTTGCTGATGAAAATCATGTAGCTGACCTACTTTTTTTTCCCCCCGAAAATTATTTACAACTTTGTTTGCTTATTCGGCACTCGCTGTGCAATGGCATGGATGTGCAAGCAGAATTGCAGACATGAAAGGGTCAGTCTTCATTTGGGCTTCTCATATTTGCTTGTTAAAACTGATTCGCATTTGTGACAATCCTGCATCTTGTTAGAAGAGAAGCCTCGTTATATGCCTATCCTGCACCTCTCCCTAGACAACCCTTTTGGTCACTGACAGAGGGGTAGATGAACTTCTGAAATGACCCAGTGTGGCCACCCATCAGTCAAGGCATGGGTGCACTCAGATTTCTTTCCATTATACAGATGACTTGGGTAAAATAACAAGCCTGAAACGCTAAAAACAGTTTTAAAGTTTCTGTTTTAATTTCTCTTCCTAGTGCTGGATAGAGTTACATACAAGCCAAAAGGGGAAAAGGGGAAAAAAAAAAAAAAAAAAAAAAAAAAGGATGAAGAAGGGACAGAGAAGGACAGACTTTATACAATCCAGTAATGTGAAGCTATTTCAATCGCGTTAGCCAGTGAGGCTTGTCAATCTATTGATGCAAAATAAATTAACAAACTGTGCATATTTATTTGTGTCTATCTGCTGGCCAGCCTATGAGCTCCAAAATGCAATCAACTGCCCGCAGCCAGGACACCTCTGTTTCCCATGCAGTAATTGGTCTTTCTTGGGCCTCTGGCACCAGGTCAGCTAGGAAAGCTAACAACAAGTCAGGAATTTATGCCAGGGCAGTGGTGTTCCCCACCTCTCTCATTCCAGTCCCTCTCTCCAACATCAAGAGGCAGTGATGGGAAAACCCAAGGAAAGAGAGCAGATGTGTACCACTGCTTGTCTAGACACCCCTTGGATCTGGGCAGGAAGGAGGCCTTTCTAGGCAGTTCAATTCACATCTGAACTAGCCAGATGATTTCTAGCCCAGAGGTCTTTTTCTCTCTGAGGGCTGTGAACGGGGCACGTGGTGACTGACTCAGGTGAGGGGAGCCCACAGAATGACCCTGAAGGAGAGGAAGGTCCTCCCTTCTATAGCCACATCTTTGCAGGTCCTGCACACTCCTCTTTGATGTGCCTTCTGGTTTGGGGATCTTACTTTGCTCTACCTTGGCTCTGCCTGCCATCTTCAAATCCTCAGCAGCAGTGGCTTTTATTCTGTTTTTGCCAGCTGGTTTTCTCACCAGAAATGTTAATTTTAAGAATTCTAGGCAGTTTTTTTTAAGTGCATTTGTGTGGGTGTGGATAATAGTCTGTATAGAGAGACCTCATTGTCCCTTAGAACTTACTGCTGATAACAAATCCTTAGGTCATAATTCTTCATGCTATGAGCAATTAACTCTGATTTATAACCTCAAATGTCCACAGTAGCTGCGTGACCCAGTGCCTTGGCTTAGCATGCTGTTGGGAATGGCTTGCTGGACAGCACATGGCAGTTAATGTTTTTTGCATGGGACTCCATGCCCAGGAACAGCAAGTGAGCAAGTTTAGCCCTTCATGTTTCATTCCTTTGGGATCTGACTGCTGTCAGCGTGGTTTTCCTGCACTGTCACCAATGTTTTTCTCCATACCAACATGCAGACCATTTCAACAGAGGGGCTCAAGCCTAGGAGTTTCAGCTGCTGTGCCTTGCCAGGCTGTTTCCCAATCAGGTTTTGCAGCAGAGGACACCACAGTACCCACCGTCCTCCTTACTAAGACATTTCTGTTCATAATTTTTCTTGCAAAGCCAAATACACCCATGGTACATTGTGGCAGCGGAAGCTCAGCAGGACCACTGACTTGTGCCTGCCTCACTGGCACAGCCCCAATGGAGAGATCTGGGAGGGTGAGATGAGAGCTGTAAACAGTTATCCATCCAAGCCTGTCCCTCTGAAATACCTCACATTCTGTCATGTGAATGTTGGCAAGTGCCTCTGCAGAAGGAAAAGCCTTTTGAGGAGCCGCGTGGCTCAGTGAGAGCTTTGCCCTGGGAGAGCACTGACTCTAGCAGCCTAGTTTCAGTCCCTGCTGATGATTTCCCACAGCACTAATTAGGGTTACCCTTTTCAGTGTGGCCGCATTTTCATTCTTTCTCCCAAGGAGACTACTATGAAGGCCCCATCACTGGTGAATACACTTAGTTGCTGCACCAGATTTTGCAGTGCAGTATTATTGTGACTACAGTGTGCTTAGGCCTTCCAAATTCACCTGGACTACAGCACCAAAACTTCCTCAGCAAAGACCTTCAAAGACCTTCAGTAGACTTGTCAGTTTATTGCTCATATTACAATCAATATCCTACCATGTTCAAATCATATTATGGAGCCTATTGTAAGTGCAAGATAATGAAGTTTTATGAATGACTAATTTTTACCCACTTGAATAGACTTACTCATCACAAAAGTGTTCTTGGAGAAATCTCTAGGGAGGCATGTGTCTCCTCCACTTTCTCTCTTCTTGCATCACAGCCCCTACCCCCCCAAACTGTTCTTTCCTGCTAAGCCCTGAGCATGGCTTGCCTCCGCAGCCCTCTCATGTTACCCACTTTGTTCCCAATGGTGCTCTTAGAGGCTCTTTACTGTTCTCTCACTCAGCTGAAGCGGGGAAACATTCGAGCTACCGTGACAAGCAGTAAAGACACCCAGGAGAAAGCAGCCATGCTTGCCTGAAGACCAGAGGCTTCTCCTGTGTCTGGTGAGACACGGCAGGCTCTATCAGAGGTATAGATCAAGGCCATGGGGACCTGTGTCTTGCTTTTAGTGTTGCAGAGACTTTTCCTGACCCGTGGGACCCACTTGTGAGGATGCTGATTAACAGTGAGAGTGCCCGGTGATTCAGCTTCATGTTGCATCAGCAGCGGGGACTGGGTTGGGTTAGGTAGGGGACCGGGTGGGTACCTGCCTTTCTGAGCTACTCCATGCCCCACTGGTAGCAGCACCAAGAGATTAGCGGCAGCAGAAACACAGTGATGCAGAGAATGTGAGATGTCTGAGCCAGACCAGCTCTGTGGCCAGCTAACAAAGGTACCCCTCCCAACGTCTTGAGAGGGAAAAAAAAGCCCAAACCCACAGGTGTAGCTATATAAAGGGAAACACTGAATATTTTCAGTATCCAGAAGGGTGAGTGGTCCGTGTGAAGCCACTTATCAGCTAACAAATGCAAGCAGTTGCTTGCAAGTGTGAAGTGTAACTAACACAAAAAGCTGAGTGCCATGTTCCTTTCGGAAGTGTTAGTGACTACCCTCACATCAGTGGGTTGCTAAGATGCTGAATTTCCTGGGAAACAGAGAAATACATAGCTTTAAAATAAAGACATCTGAAAACTCATGAATACTGTCTTAGTTCTTTTATTACAGTGAAAACCTGCGCAGTACTAGTCTACTGAAAGAATAAAAGCTGCATGTAACTTTTAATCAGAAAGGAGTCAATCCAATGTAAAAATGACCTAGAAATCATAGCTGTTGCAAACTATAAAGTCTGACTTGGGATCTCCAGCTGTTGTTTCCCGTTGGAGTAGGTCCAAAGGTCGCAAGGTTCTTGATGGAAGTTTCTCCTTTAGCACTCTGGGGAGGTAAAGAGAAGAAGCAGATTAAGGGACATGATTTCTTCGTGAATTACACAAGATGCTGTGAAGTGTTTTGCCTAGATGAAGGACATCAGAAAGGCAATTTTTTAGCAATTGCTTTCCACTCTCCCCCATCCATACATGTGTTTCCTAATTCAGATCAGAAAGAATAAATTGTGGTGAATTGTTTCCAGTACAAAATACACTGTGGGGTGGGTTGCAATTAGCTGAGGCCATTGGTTATCAACATTGGATGTGCTGAACTGTGAATCCTGATTAAAAAAATAAAAAAAAAAAAACAGAAGTAGGAGATCAGAAATTTCTGTACATTTCACTCCACATTTCTAAAGTAAAGCCTTTTATTTCTTGTGATAAAGTAGATGTGAGTTTGGTAGCAGCACTGCTACCACCATATTAGCTGAGGGCTTGAGCTCACACCTGAACCCAGACTACCTGTGCAGCCACACTGCCCACAAGTCAGATGCATTGGCAGCACCCACCCCTCTGTGCAAGAAGCTGGTCTTTTTAGGGTTTAGCCACCCCTTCCCCACTTGTGCCCTGTGTGGAAGCTCTGCACCCACACCGGGAATGGGGGAGACCCTGTCCTGTTGCTCCCTTGAGTGCAGCCTCCTGCCATGCCAGGCTGGCACAGCACACCAAGCTCGGGCACAGCACAGACCCTGCCAGGAGCTTCCACGGGATGGGGGATGATGTCTTGTGCAGGTTACCTTCCTCCACCACGCGGTGGTAGAAGCACCAGGGGACACCGGCGGGTTGTGTGTTGAAGCAGCACCCCTTCTTTTCACACTCCTGAGCCGTGATGCCAGGGAAGCCGCAGTTTATCCTGCCGTGAGGATCGTTGGGACATACTTTCCTAACTGCATAAAGCAAAAAGGAAGGAAGGAAGAAGGCTGTATTTTTTACTTTATGCTCCCTTTACCTGACAGCATAATTCACAAACAAAAGGCAGGCCACAAAGGCAAGGTCAGTGGGCAGACATGACAGCCATGATGACCCTCTCCATACCAATTTCTGGCAGCAGGTTCACCCAAATCCTTACCGAGGCTGTTACGCAAAACTAAATACCAAGGAGTGGGGAATTGCTGCTGTGCCCCAGGGGGCCAAAGGGGGCAAAATTCACCCCTAGAAGTGTCTGGTAGAGAGCAATTTACCTTTCCTAAATCCAGCAATGGGATGAAAAGCCATGTGCCGCCTGTAGTGATACCACAGGCACTGGCCTCAGACCAGGGTATGTTCATGACCTGACCCAATGCTAACCCCAGAGCAGCCTTGCTAATGAGGGGAGGGGAAAACCCAACCTCCTCTGCATCCCAACCTGAGTTACAGAAAGGAGGTAGATCATTTAGGAGGAAATCACAGCTCATCCAAGCAATTTGCTGTGAAATCACAAGTAAAGTGGTTATACCACCTGGCCCGGATAATCCAGTTTTCCTTTCCTGAAGCAGTTCTGCTCAGAAAAGCGGTTCTATGAAAATGACACTGTAAGGTGCTGCCATTCATTTTTCAAGATTTTCATTAAATGCAAAGTGTTCAAAAGCATTTTTTTTTCTCCAGCAATTCTGAGCCCTGTGACCAGTCTTGATTCATATCAAGTTCTTTTATTGGGTAACATGGGTTTTGCACCCTGACTTCCTTTCATTTCACCTGTGCAACTGCTGAGATTGTCCTGAAGTTCTCCTAAGAAGGAGTCCTGCAGTCAGCCCAGAAAATGTAACTTACATTCAGCTGTTATGTAAAATATACACCCAGTCACCTGAAGGACTGGGAGAGCAGCTGCTACCCTCTCAGAGAAAACTAAGGCAAAAAATGGAAGCAGGACTTTAGAAGGAAGAATCTAATGGAGAAAAGGCTTTTCCTTGGGATATTTTGGAGATTACATTGAGTGAAGACTGGGAGCAAAAATGGGAGAGAAAAAAAGAACCACCAAGTGAAATTGTGCTGGGAAACAAGCAGGAGAGGAAGGAAGTAGCAATTATCAAAACAGGTTGGAGAAAAGACCAAAAAACCTAAAAGTTACAGGTTGCCTGCAGTCTTTTGTCAAACAATAACAGAGGGAGTCGTCTACTCAGGACTTTGACATGCAGTGCTTAAAGTCCTCCTCAGCCACACAGAAAACCTATTTAAATAAGTGCTGAGGATCTCTTGTTCTACTGATGGACAAGCCCACAAATGGCAGTGAAATGTCTTTAAATAATCAACATGGGCTTTTTGATAACTAGAAGCCTGAAGGAAGGGAAAATACATTGTGTGAAGAGGATGAGACAAAAGACTGATCTGTAAGCAAGGTCTGACTTTTGCATTTTACTATTAGTGGTCTCCTAACAGAAGTTTGTGCCTGCTTGGCCTAAGAAGAAAAGCAGAGCTGCTCCCTGGTTGTACACCTTTCTGCGTAATCAAACAGCAGGTAAATCAGTGTTTCTGGCAGAGACATTACCTTTCTTCGGTTTAGGAGCAAAGCACCAGGGCGTGCCGGGGACTGAGTCGTTGAAGCAGCACCCAGCTTTCCTGCACTCCACCTCTGAGATTCCCGGATAGCCGCAGTTCCTCCGCTCCTTGAGGGCCATTTTACACTGGCATCTTGCTGTTCAGGACAAAAGTAGCAAGTTACTTGATGTCAGTTTGCACGCTTGTTAGGAGAGGTGCATTTATCAGATGTCACCGGGAACAATGATCTTTCCCTAGACGCTGTCCATCTTCGCAGGTGTACCTTTTCTGTCTCTTGCTAAGACCAGGACTTGTGAGGTTTAAAAGCTGCTTATAAACTCCCACCTGTTTCAGTAAGGCTTGTACTCCCCCCTTTCTGATCTCACTGGCAGCCAAGGCAGCCCAGCACAGAGGGGTCTGTGGACTTCAAATAGACCACATCAAATGGTAAAAACCTGTAACTTCAAATGTCATGCTAGTAAATGTTTGTTGCTTTGCCCATCTCATGTCACAAAAGAAAGAGTTAAGGATCCAGTGGATATTTGAACAGGTGTAAAGATACAAAATCTCTGCATTCTCATCAGGTGACTATAAAAACAGGCTTACATGCAAATAGTTGCAGCTATTCTTTTAACATTCTAAGTCTACTGAATAGTCATCCGCAATTGAGAAATTCTGGAGATGTCCCTCATGACTCCTGTCATTGAGTTACTTGCTTTCTACTTCTTAGGTTATCTAAATGACTTGGCTTTTATTGAGGAGGCAGACATAGACTCCTCTGAAATTGTATTCACATGGCAAACTAGCATAAAATAAATGTCAGAAGGCTATTTAGACAAAGCTAGCTCCTGTTCCAGTCCCAGTCCTGTTCTAATGAGCTCCTGGGCACGTCTGTCCCTCTGCCTTTTTAGCAGGTTCCTGATTATTCCAGCAAGACAAGAGTTCACCTGCATTTTTTTTTTTTTTTTTATTTTGCCATGTATTTCTCTGAAAAAAATAAAAAGTAGACTCCAATTTTGGTAATAGTAGCAGAGCAAGACATTCGCTGTCTGATATGTAAACTGGAGACATGCTCTTGCTGCAGTTACAGTCAGTAGGATCAGGCCCACGTACATACCTGTGAAGGCAACAGCAGGTGAATGTACTTACTTGGTGGTATCTTTCCCTCTGCCAAGGTGCTGAGGGCTACGACAAGGATGACAGAGAGCACACAGATCACTTTGAGATCCATTGCTCTTGGAAGGCAGGTGGAGGAGAAGTGCCACTCTCCCTGGGAACAGCTCGTTTTATATGTTCTTCGTGTTTGCCTGGTGAGGTCTGATAACATTGTTCCATCCGATGCTTCACCCAAAGGTCACATTTTCATTTGTTTAATTAGGAAATGTTGCCGTACATATTTTGATATCCCTGAGATAATTTTCTAGGCTCCTGTGAGCTGTTGATCATGTATCTATTGCATACCTATAGATACATATCGATTACGTGATCTCATAATCTCTTAAATAGAGGGTGCTGGGGGCCTCTGGAAGCCCCAGATGATTTCATTGCCCTTAGAGTATTTCAGACCTCTGGGCGGCTTTAAATGGTGGCCAATACTGAAAAATATGTACATATTTTTCTGCCTAATCTTTTCTCCGGCCTTAAGGTTTTGGTTATGCTTGCTCTGAAGTGGGTGAGGCAGGAGGGCTGGAGGTGTGACATCTCCAAGCTTCAGGAGACCACAGGCCAAACTGTGCACCTGAAGAAATATGTAAACACAGAAAGTGGAAGTTGTGTCTGTGAAATACTGAGCCCGGCTGAGGCCGTGGTTCATTTCCACACATCAGGAAGTTTGCACCAGTTTGAAATAGGAAAAGATCAGGAAAAACAAAACAAAAAAACCAAGAGGGACAACATCATGAAGAGACTCCAGAGAGGAAAGGAGAATTTATATATGATTTCAGCCTGACCCACAGTCACTGTGCTCTTCCAGGGGTCAGACCCAAGTATCCCAGATGATACTTTGGAGTTGCTGTCCTGCTCAAGGCAGAAGGTCAGGCTCCTGGAGCAGACCCCCTCCCATCCTGCAAGTCCTGTCCCGGGGGCCACACGTGGGGCTGCCCCATCGCCTCTGCCAGGTCCCCAGAGCATTGTATTGTTTTGGAATCCATCCAACACCACGGGCACATGATTTGCCAAAACCAAACCTCTGAAGCGCTACATTTGATCTGTTAATTTCCCTATTGATTTTCTCCTGTTTCAAAGGTGGCCGCTAAGGAAGCCTTTGTGCTGTTTCAGAAAAATGGGCCTTGGGTCTTGGTCTGCCTGGTCAGGCTTTAATCTCTCTTTTGGACATTTTTCTGCCATTTACTGTAACATTTCTTAACTTCCAGATACTTCCCAACACTTGAACACAAACAAAGCAGTGCCAGGGAGAGGGAGACAAGCAGTGGGACGGTGGGACAATCTCTCCACCCTCCACAAAAGAGGCACCTGCAGAGCAGTCAGGGCCAGCCACAGCCCCCCTGGTGCTCTGCAGCATCCCTTTTCCCATGGGAAAACCACCAAGGAATTCTTTCTGTCCATCACCAGAAAAGGTGTTCAGTGCATTTCTTCAATCTTTGACAGAATTGTGCATTCACGTCTTTGATTATCATGTAGGAGTTTGTTTTGTTCTCCTTTCTTTGATAAAGTTCAAAGCGAGAACTTTTAACTTCTATGGTTGTGTTTTGAAGGCAATTTATTTGTTGAAAAGTATTTTGAACCATGTGGGAGGGATTTTGGTCTATAAGGGAAAAAATAATAAAGCTCATTGTCCTGCTGTTTAACTTTATGGACTTAATTGATGTCCATTCCTATTTAATATACTGATGACACTACTCAATGAATGTTATGATTTGTAAACTGGACATTTTGTATATCCTTCATTTCACAAGATACCAAGCTGCAGGCAGAAGAGGACTGGGTTCCAGCACTCAGCAATTCATATGATGCCTTTTACCTCCATCACTGGGATAAAACATCAGACTTAAAACTTAAAAATCCAGTTTTATCCTTACGTGCAATGTTGACCATGCTCCCAAAGGCCCATCATGATGCCTGGTGCACTGAAGACATCGGCAATTTTTCCCTCAGCTTTCTTCTCATGGTGCAGGGCATGAGATTGGCTGAAATGTCCATACATGAGAGGAAAGCAGTCATCCCAAGGGGGAGGACCGCACTGCTTTCCAGCCTCTATCAAGTTCTCAATAGGTTGTTGGCCCATTGTGTGAGTCAGGTGAAACAGCTGATAACATTCATCCCTCCTGCTTCTTACTGGACATTAATTAAGTCCTTATCTGTCATCTGCCACCTCTTGGGCCCATTCCCAACTGCGTGCACAAAGGCAAATCTCCGACGGAGTTTTTGCTGCGGAAAAAGCATTTGATTGGAATCTTAAAACAAACACACTGAAAGAAAAGCTTCTTGCTTTCTGCCAGCGGATTACTTTAAGGTCTTTAATATGTTTATATAGCAAAGCCTTGAAAATTATCTGGGGTTTCGTGTGAATGTGTTTTGTTCCCTGAGACCAGCACCTACCTAGACCTTTTGGTAACTTGGCATAGGGCACCCAGGCTCTGAGAGTGCCCATGGCCAGAAGGGGCTTGGAGGGCTTCTTCCTCCTCTTCATCCTCCGTGTCCTCCCTCACCACCCTCCTCCAGTCCCACAGGGCTTTTAGATGAACTGTGGTGCTCTCATTTCCTTCCCAGCAAGCACATGGAGAAGCCAACATGGCTGGTACAGACCTTCTTGCTGTAGGTCAGTAACTGCAACTTTTTATTCTGATATTGCAGAACTTTTAAAGGATGTGGGAATGTTTTTCTTTTCACTTAAAAACACACAACCAACAGTACAACTTAGTTTTGCATCCTAAAGGGAGGGTTTTTTGTCTAGGACAAAAAAGTGAGGGAATTTCCTTTTGTGGTAACTGTTAAAATGAGTGCTGACCTGAGAAATCTGTCCTTGGGCCAACTGCATGTGAGCCACTGCATGTAAGCCCATAAAATGAATCTCAAGTTTTGAGTGCTCCCTAAAATAAATCATCATAAAAGAGAAAAAAATCAGAGGCAAAGGAGGGGGGAGTCTTCAGCAATTTTGCTCCTTCCAGCTGTGCAAGAGGCGCTCAGCAGAAGGAGAGACTCATGAGCAGGGATAGTCTGACACCACTTAGGTGCCATGCCACTCACTCACTGCAATACTGTTTTTTATGAGAGTGTTTATAGAAACAATATCAATGAGTAGTACTATCCTCCCTTATCACTAGGCTTACTGTTTGCCTTGCTTCACAACAGTCACGGATGCCCTCCTATATCCTTTTTGCTTCATCATTTTTGGAGGTACATGGAAGGTGGAGTAGTGAACAGGCAGCACAGGTGCCTGCTCTCCCCCATGGTATGGCCTGTAGGACCACAATGTTTAAAGGGTGTATTTTTCAGGGTGTACTTCCCATGGTGCTCATAGACCATGTTGTGCGGCTGCTCTACCATTGCAAGTTATACAGGTGGTTCGTGTATGGCACCAAAACAGTCTGTGTGTGTGTGTGTGTACACACAGAGTACCCGCACAGTGGGCAGCTGCTGTGACTATCTGCCAGATACTGTTCTGTAGACCATTGTGTTTTCAATAGGCACATTCCTTCATGCTGCTTGTCCTTGCAAGGCATGGTACAATGATGAGCTTCCCGACTGCTCCTCTTAAAACCTACAGAAAATTGAATAAAGATAAATAAAATAGGGGGCTGGATTTGGAGCTGCAGTTTTCTGCCTGCAGCAAGGGATACTGGGCTAATGGCAGAAATCATTCCAGTCCTCCCCAGTTTCAGGTGTAAATTAGAGTTTCCTGGAGATTGAAAAAAATGTAATAAAATCTTCAAGAGATGTTGCAGTCAATTCCTAATGTTCCTTCCTGTTCTGAGCCTGTACTCATTTATTTCTGGGCTGAACATATGGGAATGGGAATTTCAAGAGGCCAACAAGGTTGTTGGGATTGTGCAGGAGTGTGCATTTGAGCAGAAGCAAAAATACCAGGAAAGGTTCCCAGTAAGATTTGCAGCTCAGTGTCTGTAACAACCATCATGGTGTTGGATTTGTATTGTATTCCCTAGCAGAGGTTATTCTGTAGCCCATGTAGGAAATCCCCATGTTTTTGAAGCTTAAATGTCAATATTTTGAGTGTGTAGGGGGGGTGTCTAAGCATGTTATTTTTAGATTTGTCTGTTGTAAAACATACTCCAAGTTGTTTTTTTTTTTCCCGCAAAGCAAGCAGGAGCTGTGCTGCAGCTTGGAGGTGTCCGTGCAGAGCAGTGCGACCTGTGCCACTCGCTTGGGTCACCCTTGTTGGGCACAGACTGGGGCTGTTTTCCCTTTTTCTTTCAGGGAGGCCCCTATTTCAGAAACAATTAGCCAAGCAATGCTTCTCAGGGAACGTTAAAAATACCACATCTGGGAAAACACAGACAGACCTAACTATAGCACGTTGAGACTAAAGCTTGAAACTGTGCGTGTTGTTAAACACAGGCTGAAATACGGGACAGGTGAGATTTTTGGAAAAATTTAAACGTTTATATAGGTGAGCCCCTGGAGTCCAGCCAAAGGTTTTGCAAAGCTCCAGTTACATGGTTGCCTGGCTAGCTTTTGCAAGCCACACTACGGAGAAACCTGTTGCATAAAAACATCAGCTCTCTGAACAGGAGCAGATATGTGTCACTAGGGAAAACAGGGGAGTCACCGAGTCAGAAGATATTAGGTACAGAGAGTAATTCCATGACCCTCATGTACATCTAATTCATACGTAGGTTACTGCAGCGGGCAGTGTCCCACTGCACTTCTTGTCTCTCCAAGCTGCTAAACTCACCCTCAGTGGGACCAAAATCTGAATGGGTCTGAAGAAGGAACTGCAGAAAGAGGAAGAAGCATTGAGCTGTAAATTAAAATTTTAAAAAGAAGAAATTAGTAGGGATAAGAGGTACTATAAGGTTTCTGATGACCCATTGTGTAAGACGTGTTGATTCATGCTTGGGAGCAGTGAGCCAACCCTGGCATTTCTGGTGTAAATGAGGGAGAGGGCCCTTAGCCTCCCACAGATTTTAACTAGATGACTTAGCACACAAAAGCCCTTAGATCAGGATAGTATCTGCCTATCTACCAAATAACACTGGGTCCAAAAAATAATCAGAGAAATCCCTACAATTTAATTCTGGGAATGGACAGTTCAGAGTAACCA